TAATTGTCAAATGCATTACCTTACATGACATTTAACAAGGTCTCAACCGACTCATTATTATTTATAATAATTTATATGTAATATACTTGTATAATATGAATGTCAATAATATATAGAATAAACAGATGAAAACTAGTTACCACAGCAGTCCGCCGTATTGGTTATTTTAACTGTGTTAATGCTATAAACATCCACCAGATAGACTTCCCACCACGGGCTCATGTGTTTTTTCGTTTGGAAACAACTGTCATTATACATATAACTATTAGCGTCGCCATCATTGCCTTTGTCAGCACCCCAATTATCCATGTCGCCAAAAATGCTGATCGTTTCAGACGGCTTTTTAAGAGCAAGATTATCAGAATCTAAAGCAAAAAGGGCGATGCTATTAACGTAAGTAACACTTTGGAAAAAAAAAGTCATACTTAATAATAAAACTACTTGTAACCTGCATTTTTATTTCTAATGAAATGGTATATACATGTATACTGTAATAGGTATTGGAGCCATTACAAAACATGTCAATTCATTTGTTGAAACATAGAATATGAAATTAGCAAAATCATTTTAACAGTACGTATATATACACAATGTACAAGAGTTAAGACCTCTTCTTGGCATATACATTTTATTTGCATAAATAAAAGTTTACTCGATCCATAGACTTCCACTTCACATAAATGAAACCATGTTTCTTTGTCCCTCAACGTAAGTCGAACAAAACGGACTTCCACAGGATCAAATGTAAGGGTTGCGGAAGCACCCAATGGACCTTCCTTCCTCGCTACAACTGTCCATTCACCGTATTTTACTGCTACAGAGACCTCAACATTCTCCGCCCTGTTGGCTAAAACAACAAGACTGTTTTGCATTGAAAACACCAGCAATGAAAACGAAATTAATAGCTTTATGTGGCTGCAGTTTTACAATAGTTTTGCTTTTTAAGATTTATTTACTGTTGCATTTCTGTTGTCCATACATGGATTCACTCGATGTTTTTATTCTTTTTAGAGGAAGTAAATGTATACAGCAGTCATTTGAAGACCACAAACATTGATTGTTAGTGGGGGAGCGTGGGCACCTGTACCCGTGGATTACTGGATTAAGCCTGCTTTTATCATCTGACCTTCTATAGTATATAGAAATTAGAAATTTGCGACTTGTGCCGAATTGTCAAATGCATAACCTTACATGACATTTAACAAGGTACGTGTATTATCAATCGACTCATTATTTATTTATAATAATTCATATATAATATACTAGTATAGTATGAATGCCAATTATATACGGAATAAACAGATGAAAACTAGTTACCACAGCAGTCCGCCGTATTGGTTATTTTAACTGTGTTAATGCTATAAACATCCAACAGATTGACTTCCCACCACGGGCTCATGTGTTTTTTCGTTTGGAAACAACTGTCATTATACATATAACTATTAGCGTCGCCATCATTGCCTAAGTGAGATGGCCATCTCCTTTTGTTATTCCAAGTACTAATTTGTTTTGACGGCTTATTAACGGAAAGGTTAATGACACCTGAAGCAGAGATACAATTGATGAATGTACATGTATTGTGAGAAAATATCTCTTACTGTTCTAAATCTGTATAAATAACATCTTTTTATTGCGACCCGAGAAGTCTTTAAATAATGTGAAACAAATTTCTAAAGCTCAAGAAGTTGGTCAGGTATTAAGTGTAAAAGATTAGGCTGATATTTACTTGAATTCAGTGATTCTGCTGTTTCCAGATCAGCCAACAGCAACAAACATATCTGAAACATGCATGAACATAGTGTTATTATAAAAAAAATGAATATTTAACAACTTTTGTTATGGTTGTTTTATATGTAATTTACTTGTTCCCAAAACAATAGCTCTTTTGCGATACCATTTGCGATTTTGAAAGTGTATTGCAGCTTTAATTCTGTAGAATAAGATGTGTAAAAATTATTATTTCAGGATCTGGCTTCGTTAAACACTCAACATTTTAAAATTCTATTAAACTTATAATTATAGTATTGGCATCAAGGAAAGGTAATTAGAATTGCTCTGAATCTTGAAACAAACAATGAAGTTATGATAGTATGTCAATGAATACATGTACTGGATAAATGAAATAAACGTCATACGTCATACCGAGATAGGAAATATTAATCTCCTCATGCCTTACAGATTGGCAATTTCCCAGACGGCAAGAGCGAAATCAAAGGGTATGCTCTACTGAAAGAGAGGAAAATATTATTATTCAACGGCAACACCAAATGGTAAAATATGACTTAGTGGTATATCTGATGCTTTTAATTTATTTATTCATATTATTCATACTGTCTACTTATTATGTAAAATTAATCAATTATGTATACCTGGTAAGTAACTTTGATACATAATTATTATCATACATGCCTTAAGATAACTTCATGTGCGAATGTGCTATCATTTAATACTGAACTACTTTAAAGCTTATAGTGTACAGAAAATTTATGGCTACTTTATAACAAAAATTACGATATGTTATAAATCAACGTAGAGAAAAAAGTAAAAGCTTCATGACACAGATTAATTTGACCATTTGTCGATATGATCAAAAGGTACCACGTAATGATTCCTGAATTTGTTTTTTTATCGTAAACAGATGTTGAAATTTGGTTTTTAATTTGACAATATTATGATATAAGTAAATTTTCGAACGTAAAAAAACTTCACTGGGTTCCAAAAGTGTAAAAAACTTAAAATTCGAATATCTTAATTATAGAGATCAGGTGGGGCACTTAAAAGATAAGAAATAAATATACTAAGATATAAATTGAAAAACAAGTTTTTGCGCATTTCTAACCCGATCTGAGTTAAAAACTTTGCAATGATTTTCAATTTTGAGTCATTTTGTAAATGTTAGTGTTCATTCGTGCAGTTCGAAAGAAATTAGAAACTTCGACGGGAGCGATAGCGACTGATGTTTCTAATTGATAAAGTATCGACTTTTGTTCTTCTATGAAAATTAACGCATACAATTTTTAAGAAATACAGTGTTTTCATTGGAGGACAAATAAAGTTGGACACCATGATTCTGAAAATCTCGTTGAACTGAACATGTTATTATTCATCCGTGCTGTTCTACAGAAATTAGAAACTTCGACGGGAGCAATACCAACCGGAGAATGTTTTTAACTCTGTAGAACAGCTACGAATGAATACTAGCATGTTAAGTATCAAGCTGCATAATATTTACTTTATTACGTCACGACTATTTTATGAATGCGGTTTTATGACGTGCTATGAAAAATAGACGGCGACTTTAAACGGAATTCGATATAGATCTAGTATCGATTTTTGTTCTTCTATGAAAAGGAACACACACAATTTGTAAGAAATACAGCGTTTTCATTGGATGACAAAGCTGGACACGTTATCCTCATAAACAGATAGACAACGATCAGTAAAACTATCACTGCTGTAACAAATCATAGTTCTATATTTCCAGTACCGGGTGTCGAGACATAACCAGCAACATTAGACATTATAGATTGTACACATCCAGGACAGGCTATTGCACAGATTGAATTACGACAGTTAAGGAAAAGTCAACGTGATGATCCAATTGTAGGTCTTTGGTTAAGGGCAACTATAGACAAGTGTTTTCCAAGTAAGAATTTGATATGTAACAATGGCCATTTGACAATGTCAAGGCACTTAAATAAATAAGATATTAGTTCTTGGATAGAACATTGTGGTCGTTGCAAACGTAGGAAAAGTCCTGTAAATATTCGTGCACCTCTTGTGAATATTGAAAGTATATATTCTTTAGGGCTTAAAAGTACAGATTTTCTTACAGTTGATCCATGTTCAAGCGCATTCAGAAATATACTTGTAATACCAAACCACTTTATCAAGTTTGCAGTGGCTGTGCCATGTAGAAACCAAGCTGCTAAAACCACGGCAGAAGTCCTCATGAATAACTTTATTATACATTATGGTGTGCCTGCTAAACTTTTGTCCGACCAACCAAGGTCCAAACTTCAATAGTGAAGTAATTCAAGAGCAATGTAAGTTAATAGGGATACAAAAGGTATGAACAACTATATATCACCCACAATGCAACGGCATTTCAAAAAGATTTAATAGATCATTGCTAAGTATGCTTGGGACTTTAGAGCCTGAACAAAAAAAGAAACCCGGAACAAATACCTTTAACCACTTGTTTTTGCAAATAATGCAATGAAACATGAATCTACTGGTTTTTCACCGTTTGAATTAATGTTTGGTAGGAAACCAATATTAGCAATTGATAACATGTTTCACATTGATAATGAATATTTTATGTCTACAGATTATGTTTAAGATAAAAAAAACAGGACTGAATTCGCTCAAAATATAGCCAATAGAAACTTAGCCGAAGCCAGATCAAAACAGAAGATGAGTTACAACAAGAAAGCAAAAGCTGCATCACTGCAAGTTGGTGATAAGGTATTGGTTAAAATTTTTGCATTTTCCGGACCACACAAGCTTTCAGGTAAGTATGAACAACCTATATATGAAGTTGTGGAAAGACCAAATGATGATATTCCAGTGTATGTAGTTAAAGATCCAGACGGTAAAAAAAAAAGTTGCACAGGAATCATTTGTTACCTGTAGCCGAGGTCGAACCAGACTCAAATTTACAAGAAATGACAAAATAACCTTAAGTTAAAAACAGATTAAATAAAGGAACACCTACAGAAACCTTTTCCAAAACCTAGAGCCAAACAGGTTCTGGTACACCTTGTTTCATATTTCATATTTAGAATACGTCCGGCTGAAGTTGAGAAATGGTGTAGTTGTATCGAGCAATCCTTCTAAATAGACAAAGGTTTTTAGTTTGATTGTGGTTTATTTCTATCCTAGATTATTTAGTCTCGCGTTATATGCTATTATTTCGCGTGTATTCAGATTATTTACAACGATACTTGGGTTGTCAAAATAACTACTTTTGTTCTGTCTAATTTGCATGAACACTTTATTCCCACAGTACAGGCGTGAGAGAGAAACTTGCCTATGATACTTCAATGTCGTTAGGAGCTTATGCTTTGTAAGTGTTAACAAATTGTTATTATTATTATTATTATTAAATGTATTACAAAATGTACTATTATTAATTAAACTAAATCTTTGGTAAATACCTACTCGTTTTTAAAATTGTTTAATTAATAAGATGCTGTTTCAGCTGTCTGTTGATATTGTTTGAAATGTTGGAGATGAGAAATGTTGAAATGTTGTATTGATAATTATTTGTAATTAATTGGTGTTTTTTTTATTAACAAATCTCTTTTGATTTCAGGACGTTTATAGTAACATTATTTTGGCTAAGAAGAATGGAAAGATGTAACAGTTAAACAGTATAAAGAACGAAACTAAAAGATGTGTACTTATTTCTTACAGCCACTACCCAGAATGTCCCCCTGTAACATTAATAATAATTAGTGTCTAGCTACATTTGTCATCCAATGAAAACACTGTATTTCTTAAATATTATGTTTGTTAATTTTCAAGAACAAAATTCGATACAGTATATCAAATAAGATTTAAAGTCACCGTCTATTTGTCATAGCACGTCGTAGAACCGCGTTCATAAAATAGTCGTGACGTAATAAAGTAAATATTATGCAGATTGACACTAAATATGTTAATATTCATCCCTAGCTGTCCTACAGATACAGAAATTAGAAACTATCGCTCCCGTCGAAGTTTCTAATTGCTGTAGGACAAGACGGATGTACGCATATATAGATTTATTATTCTGTAAAAACGGAATGAGCAAAGATCTAAAATTTGCACACAAGATATTGATATTAGACCTACATGAAATGGAATGTTCATTTTGAAAAAAATATTTCCAGTCATGTCATGTCAAAAACTCAGTGGAGTTCCTTTAATGACGAATCATTTTACGAAAAACGCGAACAGTAACAGTCCCAATGCATTCGTGTTCCAGATTATAACTTAAATTCTGTAACGTCATGGGTTTATAAAGACATAAGTATATGTGCTCTAAAATTTACTTTGATATTTCTTCATCTGTACTATACAGTAAAGTTCTTCTTCAGAGATGCTTCCTTTATATGTATGCAACAGAATCTCTTCTACTGAATGAAATTGGAGCTAGATCAATCTAGATATTTTTTCTTTAAATTTCAATAAAGCTGTGTGCTTATGATAGTATTGACTTATGTTCCAGCTATTCGTGTTTTCAATAGAGAAAAAAAGAATCCCTAAAGAAAGTCCAAAACGGCAAAATTGAAAATGGTGCATGCTCGGTTTGGTTAAGCCTGTTCATGGACGATACTGTAAAGTGCAATCTACCGTCCGCAAAAATAAGGAATTATAGTTCATTTCTTTCCTTTTTAAAATTTATTACACTTTTTGTAATATTCAATCATTATGAATGATTTTCCTTTTTATATAACATTCTTTCCTTAGGCTTTATAATTATACTATTATTATTATACTATTTAAAATATTCCGACTTTAGGAATAACTATTCATGCTGAAAATTCTAAGTAAAATTGAAAAAAAAAATGAAAAGACATATCGTAAAGTAAATGAGTGTGCTTATGAACTGAAAGTGATATTCGATAAAATCATAAAAGCGCATTTGAAAGCCCTATCGTTTCTACAAATACATTTCTATGTCTACAGGATTAATGCCATCATCGATAATTATTTATATAAACGTGTTTATCCGACATTTGTACTACTTGTCAGTCAATATACGAGAACCATGAACATATTTTAATAATTGTCAAATGCATGGTGCAAGAAATGTAATTTCATTTGAACAGTTCTATTATATATATATATAGATAAGTTCTATTATATAGATACTAGCATTAGGCAATGCATTTTATACATGTTTTTTTTATATAATTATATTGTATCAATTATTAATAAAGAATTTTCTCTAAAGAAACGTGTCGCCCTATTACTTAGCTATTGGCACCAAACAGAAGACACATATTATATGTTAGAGAACGAAGACATAAGTAATGTTTCTTTGATGAAAATAATGTAAAACAATGATTCAATTCACAATTATAATGCACAAAAATATTCAAGTAAGGTAAGTGATAATTTAAAGTATGTTACTAAAATATAACAAATATATTTAATGTTAAAGAAGAAAAAAGTGAAAAATTAATAATAATATTCTGTACTCACGTGTTTCACTTGTCGGACTTCTAAGTCGTATTTGCCTGTATTCATTAGCATATTCGGTGCTGAATTTATACTGTTTGTCTTGTAACATATTGTAACGTTTCAAAAGCCAAATATACTGTTAATACAACAAAAGGTTTGATTCATTAGCTGCATTCATTGTTTGATAACAATAGTTTAAAGAGCAAACCTGGCGATGAAGAGAATATTTTCAAGCTGTTGTTTCATTTTTTAAGCCACAAAAGCAAAGAGCATCCAAAACATTTCAAATTAATGTACTTTCTGCATTGTGCGATGAGGTTATGAGGATGTGATTTATAAATTTTCCAGTTTCAGTAGCATGCAATTAATATATGGATTATGAAATGATGTGCAATATTACATTATACTACTACCAAAAGATACATGTACATGTATCCATCAGTCTAAATCATGAATTGACATAATTTTGTTTGCTTGTAAAATTTCTACACTCTACTTCATATTCTGTTTCAAAGCGGGCAGATAACATAGCTGATACCCACGGCCGAACCATTAACATTTGAGCCGCGTCACGAAAAAACCAACATATTGCGTTTGCGACCAGCATGGATCCAGACCAGCCTGCGCATCCGCGCAGTCTGATCAGGATCCATGCTGTTCGCTGTCAGTTTCTCCACTTGTAATAGAGTTGGTAAGCGAACAGCATGGATCCTGATCAGACTGCGCGGATGCGCAGGCTGGTCTGGATCCATGCTGGTTGCAAACCCATTAAGTTGGTTTTGTCATTATTGATTACATGTCATGTTACGTGTTAATCAACCGTGTAAATCCGACGATGAACTTCCCAGCGAGCTTCATATTTTATACATGTATTAAATATATTACATTTTGTAAATCATTTTAATATACTAAATATATAAATCTGTCTTATATTCTTCTCGTATGATCCTTTTATTCTGCAAAGATATAAAAACATACATATATTTGTATGCAATGTGGAAGAAAAATCAAGCTAGGCTGGGGGATGAGTTCATTGAATATCGCTCGTCCTTGTTGATCTTTGTTCACTTAATAGTCACTAACTGCAAAACAGATCTGGATTAATTTGTTTGTTTGTTCGTGTTTTTAATTTGTTTTTATTTCTTAAAGGATATTTCTTATAAACAATCATTTTTAATTTAATATTACCGGTAAATCCTTACCATTTTTTTCTGTTAGAAGTTCTGATGAAAACACTTGTACCTGTTTGTCCTACAGTTCCTGAAATATTGGTGGTGATATCTTAACGACAACTGTTGCCTCTCTGTTGGCTGATCATGTCAGAATTTTACAACGCATTCTTTCTTTGTACGTTTGTTATGATTGTAGTTAAGTAAAATCTAATGCAGAAACACACATCTGAAAATTAACTAGTAATCGGGCAATGGCAATTAAGATTATTGTTCGAACAGTTCTATTCTACGGAAAAACAGAGGGGACATCCATATCGTGACCATAACTCGGCAAAAAAAGGTTATGGCGTGGCCACGAGATATAACTCAGAAGAAAAAACGAAAAAAAAACCAAATGCTATCTAGTTCACACGAAATCCAAATAAGAAAAAAAAACCTGGCCACGAGATATAACTGAGAAAAAAATAATTTCGTTTTCTCGTTCCCACGAGTTAGTCTTGTATTTTGTGATCGCAGATCAGAAAATACAATGCTGACATTCAATCTCAGGAACAGCGCTTCCCGGCAAACTTAACAAACAGCTTAAAACTGGCGATGTAAGAAAGAGAAATATTCTTATTTTGTTACAAGTATCCAACAAATTACAACGCATTCAAAGTTTAAAAATAGATTTTGCTCGGCTATTTCCTTAAAACTTCGGATTATTGTGATCGGAATTAAACGCCCCCTAAATGAACATTTGTTATTTAGACTTTCTGAAAAATAAAGTAAGGATGTTGACGACGAATTTAGGGCAGTCGACGACCGATAATCAATTTCTACTTCAAGCACCCGTTCCACGTAAACAAAATGCTATGTTGAGCGATGTCGATTACCAAAGACTTTGCAGCGCGTATAAGGATGGAAATTCTAAATTTAGAATCATTTGGTTTTATTCAGCCAATTTGTATAATTTCACCGCGGTCCAGGGTTAGGGTGTGAGAGGTCTGAGGTTCAGATCCCAATCGAGGCATTTTTTTAATTGTCTTTCAGCGATTTTAACATTCTTTCTTAAGGTAGACCATGGGTTATGCATTTCCTCCTCTTTTAAGTTTTCAAATAGGCTAGAATCACTTGTAAACTACATTGAAATTGAGGAGCGTGGGTTCAAACCGCAGAAGGGTAAACTTTTTTTCTTTCCTTTTTTCTCTTTGGCAGTATTTGGGTATCTCTCAGATGCCTTATGGAAGAAAAAAGTGTTTGATTTTAATTATATAACAAGAAAAGCATTGATGCAAAGCATCAAAGGGCGTCCAAGCAAGAAATGCAGAAAGTGAAGATGAACTAGTAGACATATGATGACAAGATATTCTTATAAACTTTTCAATAGTTAATTGGTTTTTACCAGAATGAACGGACGAAAGACATTGTTCATTATGACCTTTGATTGGCATGCTAGAGATGAGAATATTCAGACTTGTTATTTCTTTATGATCGTGATTATTAATAGCAACTTAACCAAACTAAGTGACAAACATTCATTTTGGAAAAAAAGCTTATTTATCTGTAAAATATCTGTTCTGTTCTGTAACGATATCAAACATCTACTCCAAAACCGGGAGAGACCGGACAATAAACGTGTGATACTATTCGCCGGTCACTAGTAAATCCCGGTCAAAATAGACCGGGAGAGACCGGGAATTACCGATAGCAGTACATCCCTCTATAAATAGATTTTCGGAATATTTAGGTCATCAACTCATCATTCTATTTTAACATACCATAATAACCCACTGTGTACTACAAAATGATGAATAAAAAAAACCGAAGAGACGGAAAAGATTATTTCATGCATTGCGAAATTCTCCAGTTCGCTATTCATTGTACATTTCGAGACATTTTTTTTAATCAAGCACCCTCATACCGATCGGAATGATCGGCTTTTATTATGACCGACTATATGGCTCGAGAAGTTGCTGTCGCCCTTTCACAAAATCTGATTTCATTCCATAAGGGCGCCGCGCTTCGGCGCGGACGCCAATAATTATAGGTACTTATTTGCTAAATAATGCCAAATTTAATAGCAAATATGATACCAGATATTTTCAAAGTTTAATTAAATAAAAACTACACGATAAAAGTATTTTATATTTCGCATGCTCAAACAGTATACTGTTAAGAAAATTTAGGCAAACTTTGAAAACAGCCCCTATTTGCTCTTGTAATTTATTACCTGAATGTTATTATTTGTTTCAATAGGAAAACATTTTTCATAATGATGATATTATAAATTATTTAGAGTTCCTCATTTCTGAAAAAAAAAACTCTTCTAACAGCAAAGTTTTAGTTCAGAAATATATCCATAACTCATAAACCATACGGTAAATTTTATTTAAATTTTGCATACAGATGACCTTTAGGACACATAACTGTCATAATTATGTTGTCAACTTTACAGTTCCTTACGGTGTCCATTACTCATGGTCTATCTTAATTAAGGAAGTAGCCACGATATGCAAGGATAAAGTGTGGCTGTCATAAATCAAAGTGCTGAATGCACTGAATGCGACGGACATGCAACCGGAGAGACATTAAGGCTTTTCAGAAGAAAAAAACACACAAAAGATATAACAGCGACAATTTGTTCCATACAAGTTCGAGATTTGTAGAGTAATCTTTTTTAGGTGTCCCAATCTAATATCATTCAGATTGTCTACTTTCAAGCAGAACACGTCCAAATTGTTAAATACCTAATGAAATTTATGCCTCAAAACTCTGGTCAAACTTGTAACTCAGTGTCCTTATCGATTTTATTTGTAAATAGAAAAAACTGTCAACGAAATATTTCTAAAATAAAACCATGCAAATAAACTTCAAGGATAATACATAATAATGCGAGAATGTTAATTAGAATTGCTTCGTTTTATATCATAGTTGGCATATAGACAATAAAATATAAGTCATTAGTATTTATAATTTTATTTCTATTGGATATGGCTCATTAAAAATATTTTTGGGTAAAATCGTCAGCAATTAATGATGTATTTTTTAGATTTTTTTTTTTTCATTTACAAGGCAAAGATGTAGAGGCCAGAGCACATCGTTTTAATTTTAATTTAATATACAGTACGATAGATTGCAAAGATCAGAAAATACCACAGAGCTTGCAGCCCTTTGATTATTCTATCGATTTTATTGGTTACACGACTTAGATGTGTTTCATTTGACTGGTCGGCTAACTCGTGGCCACTATATAGCATATATTTGTTTGTTTTCCTGAATTATTTCTCGAACGAGAAGTGTTGTTTTCTTGTTTTAGGGTTTCTTTCTGAGTTATATCTCGAGGCCACGAGATAGGGTTTTTTTTTTCTTTCTAAGTTTTATCTCGTGGGAACGAGATAGCATTTGTTTTTGGTTTGTTTTTTGCTTTTTAGTTAGTTATATCTCGTGGCCACGAGATAGGAGGAGAGAAAAAATCGGCATGTCCACTCTGTGCTTCCGTACTATTCATAAAGTTCTCATCAGAACAGAAAGTCATAGCACAATGTTATCGGAATCATACAGATCTATGCCTTGAGATTATATAGGCCTATGGTTTGTGATCGTGAATTTCATTTTGCACAATAAAAAATTGTTAATTTCCCCTGAATACAACGTTTATAAGTTATCAGACATGTACTCAAATATGTACATACATACATATATATATACATACATATGATGATTTAATCGAAATTGAGTGTCTATATCACTGTTTATAATTCAATTTATCAAAAAATGCTGAAATATGTTTGAGTGTGGGTGCTTATGTGGTATAGAATTATGTGGTATAGAATTATGGTTTCTGTATTGACCACTGCGGCACTGCCCATTCAATATAGTTTACTATTTTTATCTTGTATCTTAGTTTGGAGACTTTTCTGTTGAAAATGTGTCAGAGTTAAATCGTATACATATACATGCACAGTGTGTTAACTACAGTGCAGGTATTAGTTACCCACCCGCACTCCAGGGCATGCCCATTGATCGACTCATTTTTGCTGTTGTTTATACTTATTGTAACAGCAGAGAAAGGGAAGGCGATAGAAATATCATATTCAGATGCTCCTCGATTGGTTTCTTTTTTCTTGGGTTTAATATTGTGACAACAGGGAACGTGCTTTTATGTTTGACTGTGATACAAAAGAGAAAGAACATCAAAACGCTCGACAGTCTGATCAATATATTCGGGGGCTATGCCCCCTCGTACAAATCGATAGCCTCGATCGTGTTTCGATGCTCTTTCTATAGTGCTTTTTGGTCCGTGTAATTTTAAATTACCATTGATGGTGTCGGCCTAGTGAATTTTCGTATTCTTTGATATATAGTAAATCAGTCATATTTGAGGCTTAAATCTCGATTCCACTGTTCTTGATGAATTATATACTGTCATCAACATTATCTAAGTTAAATGAGGCCCAAAATATAATATGTTAGCCATCTAATTTTTTCTGTTGTAACACTGTCTAAATTCGCCACCATGAAAACTCCGGACTGCTGGTGGGTAGCAATCGCAACTACTCGGTCCTTTCCGTCAGTCTTCGGATACGGACCTCGAACACAATACTATGAATACACAGATGTTATTACCTGCAATTTGGTTATCCCGCCATTAATATTTTGTCCAGAAATATACGGTGTCACGGTCAGAAGTATGATATTTTGACGTTGCGCGGAAAAGTTGTGGTAAACGCCCTATCACCGTGTAAATTAAGAATGTCAGCACAACCAATGGTAAGCTTGGGGACGTAAGCTCACAATACCACAACCAAGCTGCCCAGTGAAGAAAAATTGTCACGGCTACAGAGGTATGCCGTCAGAATTTTTTTATATATATAATAAAAACATTAGTAGGCTAATATGTGTTTAAGAACAGCTAGTGTTATCCTGCTCTAGATAATAAACATATGTACGTAATGCTAAAGACACAGATACAGTACATAATGTTTTTATGCAGAACATATGAATTTCATATAAAATACTTAGTTCATGCTCCTTAGCGTTTTTAAATTACGTACTGATTTTTTCATGTAACGAAATGCGTTAATTAATTCTCAAGAATTCATGGTGCCAAATCATGACAATTTTATCTATACAGTACATGTATATACTTTGAATCGCTGGAATAATTTACTTTTTAAAAATGAACATATGCGATAAAATATTTATCTCTATTGCATGCTTTTCAGTGGGAAGTAGATAGATAGACCTGGGACGTATCGTATGTTCCAGGATAGACATTTTTATTATCTAATTATGTTTTGATATTGTCGCAGTGTGATTTCACTGTAGCCGGACTATATCTGAATAAAAAACATTCATGAAATAATTAAATAGAAAATTTATTTCTTTTATATCTAATCTTAAATTATATTTCACTCGTGAACACTAGCTCTCATGCATGCAAAACAAACAAATATCCCGATTATAAAACTCGACGGTCTTTTCGACGGTATTGCGAAGACCGGAGACCGTCAATTAGTAAAACCCAAACATGGCGGACAGTGCTTTCGGTTTGGCGAGATTAGATGGAAAAGTTGCTCTAATTACTGGTTAGATGGGTTTTATTTAATGTTTATGTGTTTCAAGTAGAATTTTTTTTTGTAAACAAGTTTAATCGTTGTCATTACATACAGAGAAGTATCTTTGAAACAATAATAGTTAAATCGGTCACACGTCACGAACCAGCCCCAAAATTAGTCGAATCGGCCCATAGGTGTTCGGCGCGTTGATTGGTCACTACCCCCGGGCCAACTTACCCCCCCCCCCTCAAAGGTATGCAACTCGCCGCATGAAAAAATGTTTGAGTTATGGAGTTCATATTAAGATGAGTGCTGAAAAATACTAAATATATATGTATCATTTTTTTTATTTTTTGTGGGAGATGAAGGTAATTGAATTAAAAGCATATACCAAATATTTAAACATGTTTCAAATGAATTTTTTTTTACATTTTACATTGTTTTGAGAGGTAGGAGGGTTGTAGAGTTGGTGAGGGGGGGGGGCGAGTTGGAAGGGGGGGGGGGGGGTAGTGACCAATCAACGCGTCGAACACCTATGGTTTCAAGTACCTGTGTAATAATTGTTATTAATGTTATATTGCAGGTGTGCTATGATTGTTGATTGATTTCTACATTTAATTACAATTAAGTATCTTCATATATTAAAGGCTATCTACCCTACCCATCCCACCACCCACCCATCTACCCACCAACCCACTTATATTCCCACCCACACACCCACCTTCCCACCTAATAAATGACCCAAAAGGTCAAATTATTGCAAATTATTGAAATTGCTGTCACCTTCCCTGGCCAGCCTGGTCATATGGTCTAGTGCACTAGAAGTGCACACGGTGTGCACTTCTAGTTCAGCTCTAGTGCGCTAGAAGTGTACAAGGGTGGGAAGTTTAGTGTGAACTCAACTGTATATCAAACTTAAATTGACCTTGTCTCTTTTATGACCTTGACCTTAATGGTTAAATTTTTTAATTTTCACTTTTTGCTAAACTTGGTAATGAATAATTTGATTATATTTACATTTTGACAAAACTACAATTTGGACAAGACCTTCTTTAAAAAGGTTGAATTGACCTTGACCTTTAAATGACATTGAACATCAAGGTCAAAGTACTGAATTTTGTTTATGATTCATACAATGTATGATAATGTACTTGGACAAAACAACAAGAGTGACTTGACAGACCTATAAAAATAAAAAGGGAACACTTTATTTTCTTAATTTTTAAAAAAAAAATTGTTTAAACTGTTTATTTGTTTGCTATTTAAATAAAAATAAATAAGCATTGCCCCCACCTGGCTTTGACTGTTGTTCAGATATCTGATAATCAGAATCTACTGTCCTGGCCAGTAAAGGACATCTAAAGTTGGCTGTTTATTTGGTCGTATTTTCACAAGTAGCTGCAACATATATATATATAAATATATATAGTTATAAAAATGATTAAATGATTTGTTACACAGGAGCTAGCTCCGGAATTGGTGCAGGTACAGCCCACATGTTTGCCAAACTTGGTGCTAGACTGGCTCTCACAGGTAGAAACGAAGATAACCTCAACAAACATGGTGATGAATGTGAAAAACTTGGAGGAAACAAGGTGTGATATTGTGGACATGTTCCACAATTTAAATCACTTAAATAAAATATTTCCATTTAATTTAGTGGTGAGAAACTTTTTTAGTTATCCCTTATCATTAGTTCCCTAATTATATAATATCCACAGTTCTATAACCATACAAGTTAAAGAACAACCCTGTACCACCCCAGTCTTTTGATAATTTTTTGTTCAATACACTGCTTGCTCACTGGAACTTTTATAAAAAGTTTATTAACTGCCAGTAAAAGATGCTTTGTATGTTATAGGTACTATGTCTTCCTGGAGATCTAACAATAGAGGAAGATGTGAAGAGAATTGTTAACGAAGCTGTAAAGCACTATGGACGACTTGATATTCTGGTAACATTGTTATCTAAATTTAATCTTGTTCTGTGTATAAGATATGTAGGCATAAAATCAAACAGTAGTATTAAACTTGTATCACATTTATTTAATATACAATAGTAGACATGTTAACTTTGCTTAGTGCCTTTTTTGTATTAATATAACAGATAGTGACTTAATTTGTTTTTATGCCCGTACATCATCAGAAATGGGTTGGGGGTGGCATATTGATTTTATCCTTCTTTGAATAAATTTTTGTATTTGATACAAAATTCTACAGGACCATTTAACCATTTTCATGTACTTAAATTTGACCATGAATCCTATTAATGGCATTGATGCTGATGGTTTATTTCAGAATATTATCATTTTTTTGCTTGAATTCATTTTCAAAGAAAAAAATAGAGGTTTTTGTTACTGTCATGGTAGTGTTCCTGTTGGTGAATTTTCCTGTCTAAATTTTGCTCGATTTTTGCTGATTTTTGCTATGCATGGCTATATCTGTGTTATTTTTGAATGGATTGTCTTCAAACTTGAACACAACAATCTTTTAGAATAGACCTTCAAGTTAACCAGACAGACCGTGACCTTCATTCAAGGCACAAGTTTTTTAACTCACCTGAGCTTGCTCAGGGTGAGCTTTTAGGATCGTTGAATGTCTGTCCACATTTGTTCGTTAACACTCTAGCGGTCACATTTTTGCCTCAATCATCATCAACTTTGTCAGGATGCTTGTCTAGGTAATTTCTGGGATGAGTTTGAACATGGATTATCTGGGATGAAAAACTAGGTCATAGGAGCTTAAAATAGAAAAATCTTGGGTAAAAAACTAGGCCACACCGCTCAATTATGGAAAAACCTTATTAACACACTAGTGGTCACAATTTTGCCTCAATCATCATCAAACTTTGTCATAATGCTTGTCTAAGTAATTGCTCTGAATTTTGAATAAAAGACAGGGTCACAGGAGCTAAAAAAAGAAAAGTATTGTTAACACTCTAGTGGCTACTGTTCTGATAAAAAAATCCTGGAAATTGGTCAGAAAGTTTGTTTTGATGATTTCTAGGTGAAAGTTTGAATATGGGTCACCTGTGGTCAAAAACTAAGTCACACCGCCCAAAGATGGAAAAACCTTAAAACACTCTAGTGGTCACATTTTTGACTCAATTTATCAGACTTGGTCAGGATGCTTGTCTAGGTAATTGCTTAGGTGAGTTCGAACATGGGTCATCTCGGATGAAAAACTAGGTCATAGGAGCTAAAAATAGATAAATCTTGTTAACACTAGTGGCTACTGTTTTGACCCTGGGGGTCATTGATTTTCCATATTTGTATATAGTAAAAACTAAAAAAAATCTTCTTTTAAAAACTCAAAATAGCTAAAGCTTAGATATAAATATGAAACATCTTCTAATGTGTGCCTACCAAGTTAGTTCAAATAAGGGCCCTTGGGTTAAAATTGGCCCCGCCCGAAGATTTATTGATTTTCATTATATGTGTATAGTAAAAACTTAAAAAATCTTCTTATAAAAAACCCAAAGAGCTAGAGTTTAGATACTATGCATGAAATATCTTATAGTGAATGTCTACCAAGTTTGTTCAAATAAAAACCCTGGGGTCAAAATTGGCCCCTCCTGGGGGGGGGGGGGGGTCATTGTTTTTCCCTCTATGTGTATAGTAAAAACTTAAAAAAAAATTTTTAAGAAAACCCCACAGAGCTAGAGCTTAGATATTTATTCATGAAACATCTTCTAATGGGTGTCTACCAAGTTTGTTCAAATAAAAGCCCTTGGTTTAAAATAAGCCTTGGCCCAGGGGCCTATATACAGGTGAGTGATTTCAGTGCCATCGTGGCCCTCTTGTTAAATAACCTTACCATAAAGTCCTCAGAGGTGAGCTGTTGTGATTGCTGTGTGTCTGTCATTCTCCACTATTTCTTTGAACAACATCTCCTAAACTACTGGAGGGATTTTGACAAAACTTTACAGGAATGATTTTCTGATGCATAAACAACAATTCCCAGAGCTTTGATATTTGGCTTGTAGTATTTCATACCTGAAGTCTACAAATGTTTTAAAAAAAATTTATACAGCTTTGGTCAAAAATGACAATGAAAATGTAACCATTTTTAGCATTGTATCTTAGGTGAGAGATCCAGGGCCATCATGACTCTCTTGTTTAAAATGGTTGTTATGAATTATATTTTTCTTACAAATTATACAAAAGTTTCTATGGACATTTTTCTTGATCATTAGATTGTTTCATAGGATTCTTTGTATAAATCATAAAATAATTTCTATGATTTTTATAAATCATAAAATATTTTCTATGATTTTTTTTATAACTTAAATGTGTATCTTCATGGCTCAGGTTAACAGTGCAGGCATTGTGGAACTTGGAACAATAGAGAATACATCACTAGAACAATATGACAAGATCATGAATACAAATGTCAGGTGATGATTGGTGATTTCAACTTAATTTGAGCCACGCCATGACAAAACCAACATAATGTGTTTGCAACCAGCATGGATCCAGACCAGCCTGCGCATCCATGCAGTCTGATCAGGATCCATACTGTTCGCTATCAGTTTCTCTACTTGTTTTAGGGTTTGTAAGCAAACAGCATGGATCCTGATCAGACTGTGCGGATGCGCAGGCTGGTCTGGATCCATGCTGGTCGCAAAAGCAATACATGGTTTTTGTCATGGCGCTGCTCATTTAACATTATATCAGAGAATTTGAGTTTCACTCCTACCCATAGTTTAACAATATATAACCATTGTTCACTAAACCTTTTTGGCTATTACAATGGGAACAGTAAGAAGATAAGGGTTTTCATAATAACAAAATTTTTATACATGTCTGATATAAATATATACATGTAAATTAAGAAACTGTTTCTTGCTTGTAATTTATTTGAAATATTATGATGAAAAAATTGTCTTAATGAAGCATTGAGGATTCAAAATTTAGCTTTGAAAAATATGACAACACAAGGACCTGTGACAACAAAGATCCAAGTGCATTGACCTAGTAACTTAAAACTTTGTATGTACATGTAGATGTACTTTGATGAGTTCTACCTGTCCCACCAATTTTCAGGTCAAGGTCACTAGGACCTGCAATCAGTAATCACAAAAGATAAATCATTCTATCAAAGTGCATTGACCTATGAAGTTCAAACTTTGTATGTAGTAGGTCTCCCGCAACCCATTTTGTCATACTTATAAGTCTAAGGTCAAGATCACGGGGACCTGTAACAACAAAACATAAACTGGCCATTACATTAGAATGCATTGACATAGGAACTTTAAGCTAGATGCATGTGATTTACCTTGTTTACATCTACTTACCATATTCATTTTAAGGTCAAAAGGTCAAAGTTGAAGGTGACAATTACAACGAATTTTTCATTTACAATGCATATTGTTTTCAGCCGTGACACTAACTGCAGACTTTGAAGTTGTGCCTGTCATGTCCATGTAAAATGTCAAATCAATGTGTCCTTTAATTCAAATTATCTCTTTCTTTGGAAAATTTGCAGTTTTTAAATAAGAATTGAGCAAAGTGTATGGCACTTCTTCTCGGACAGCTTTTGTTATCTTGTGAAAAAATATACTGTCCTGGTGCCTTTCTTTACCTCAGTCAAGCTGGAAAATGTTCATATTAATCAATCATACTCTTATTGATGGGATTTATGTGATTTAAATGTTGGCAAAAGAAACTTCAAATATTAATTAGATCTTTTAATGATCAGTGTTTGTTGCATATACAAATACTACCCTCCATAGATATTATTTGATAAAAAGCATAGGGCTTATTGCATGCAGATTTTGAAGGCCTGATGAAATGATGAATGCTTCAGTTTTGTTAGATTGTGGGGGTTGGGGGCCAGGGGCTGAAATTCAAATTGTCAATTAATCAGTTAATCTTCACATTCACTAGTGTTAAACTGTTCTTTACAAATGTTCTAGATTGATTGATTGATTGATAAATTTACATTATTACACAGGTGAATAATGCTGGTATTGGTGAACTTGGCACAATAGAAAACACAAGTTTGGAACAGTTTGACTGGATTATGAATATCAATGTCAGGTGTTAACCATTTCACTATTGCTGTGTATTTTTCATGCATTGTGTATCATAAACAGAATGTAGAGTTAGACATAGTATTTATACCATTTACAGTGATAATTAGACAGAAAGTGAATTGGTCTACAATGGACACGTTTTTTTCGTAAGATTTTCAAATATAGGTCTAGATAAAAAATAATAGAAATTTATCTTTTGGATATTCTTATAAAAAATTTCTTGAAAAAAATGTTGAAAAAGTTTTAAGTGATTTTGTTTAAACATTTTTTATGATGAATATTTTGAAGATATTTTGTTCTATAACAATTTATTACCTGTTATATATAGATATCGATATGTTATATTGGACATTTTATCTCACACTTGTCAACAACCTCCATATCTGAAATTATTCCATGGTTTGTTGTCACATATGATACTGATTACAATCCGCATATTTTTTTAATAGTATTACATACATTCTATTTTGGGCCAATTAACTTTTTTTCTAAGTCCTGAAAGTTGATTCAGGTGATTATCATAAGAATTTATAGAACATGTACTAGCAGGTAACAGCTTAGTACTGTTACAGAACACTAGTATAGTTACTATCTATATATTTTTATAGGTATATATTTTGGAAGTCCTGAAAAAAAAACTAATGCAACTGTACAATTATTGTAATAGCTAGCAATGTAAGTAAGCTTTGGATAGCTTGTGAACTTGCAAAGCTTCCAGTGTATTCTTGTACTTGCATTATTTTATCACCCTGTAGAACACTTTTAATGCTTATAATGAAAAGACTTTTAGATGTATTTCCTTGCAAGATTTCTTTTAGATTTCTATCCAGAATGATTGGTCTATCTTACTCGCACTTGTGACAGCATTATTGGAACAGTTATGCACACAACTTTTTGTCTGAACAACCTGTGAAAGTACTAACTTGAAACTGAACACCTGTATCATAATTTTTAGCTCGACTATACGAAGTATATGGAGAGCTGTCCTACTCGCCCCGGCGTCGGCATCCGCGTCCGCGTCCAGATTTTAGATTAAAGTTTTGGTGCAGTAAAATATTTTTCACTATAACTTTGTCATTTCTTAAGGTATCAACTTCAAACTTCAAATATATGTTCCTTATCATCAACCACATCTTATGTGACAAGGTTCATAACTCTAGCACCAATATTTTCAGATTTATCTCGCCTTGAACTTAGAATTTTCCTTAAAAAATACTATTTTTTAGCTCGACTATTCGATAAGAATAAGTAGAGCTATTGCAGTCACCCGAGCGTCGGCGTCGGCGTAACCACTTATGTTAAAGTTTTTGTAATAGTTCAAATATTTTCAAAGTCCATAGACATATGGCTTTGAAACTTTGCACACTTGTTCACCATCATGACCCCAACCTGTAGACAAGAGGAGGTAACTCTATCAAGCATTTTGACAGAATTATGCCCCTTTTTCGACTTAGAATTTATGTTAAAGTTTTTGTAATAGTTCAAATATTTTCAAAGTCCATTGACATATGGCTTTGAAACTTTGCACACTTGTTCACCATCATGACCCCAACCTGTAGACAAGAGGAGGTAACTCTATCAAGCATTTTGACAGAATTATGCCCCTTTTTCGACTTAGAATTTACGTTAAAGTTTTTGTAATAGTTCAAATATTTTCAAAGTCCATTGACATATGGCTTTGAAACTTTGCACACTTGTTCACCATCATGACCCCAACCTGTAGACAAGAGGAGGTAACTCTATCAAGCATTTTGACAGAATTATGCCCCTTTTTAGCTCGACTATTCGATAAGAATAAGTAGAGCTATTGCAGTCACCCGAGCGTCGGCATCCGCGTCGGCGTCCGCGTCGGCGTAACCACTTATGTTAAAGTTTTTGTAATAGTTCAAATATTTTCAAAGTCCATAGACATATGGCTTTGAAACTTTGCACACTTGTTCACCATCATAACCCAAACCTGTAGACAGGAGGAGGTAACTCTATCAAGCATTTTGACAGAATTATGCCCCTTTTTCGACTTAGAATTTACGTTAAAGTTTTTGTAATAGTTCAAATATTTTCAAAGTCCATTGACATATGGCTTTGAAACTTTGCACACTTGTTCACCATCATGACCCCGACCTGTAGACAGGAGGAGGTAACTGTATCAATCATTTTGACAGAATTATGCCCCTTTTTCGACTTAGAATTTACGTTAAAGTTTTTGTAATAGTTCAAATATTTTCAAAGTCCATTGACATATGGCTTTGAAACTTTGCACACTTGTTCACCATCATGACCCCAACCTGTAGACAGGAGGAGGTAACTGTATCAAGCATTTTGACAGAATTATGCCCCTTTTTCGACTTAGAATTTACGTTAAAGTTTTTGTAATAGTTCAAATATTTTCAAAGTCCATTGACATATGGCTTTGAAACTTTGCACACTTGTTCACCATCATGACCCCAACCTGTAAACAGGAGGAGGTAACTGTATCAAGCATTTTTTTTTACTATCAAGCACTAAGAATAGTCGAGCGTTGCTGTCCTACCGACAGCTCTTGTTCGACTTAGAATTTACGTTAAAGTTTTTGTAATAGTTCAAATATTTTCAAAGTCCATTGACATATGGCTTTGAAACTTTGCACACTTGTTCACCATCATGACCCCAACCTGTAAACAGGAGGAGGTAACTGTATCAAGCATTTTTTTTTACTATCAAGCACTAAGAATAGTCGAGCGTTGCTGTCCTACCGACAGCTCTTGTTCGACTTAGAATTTACGTTAAAGTTTTTGTAATAGTTCAAATATTTTCAAAGTCCATTGACATATGGCTTTGAAACTTTGCACACTTGTTCAACATCATGACCCCAACCTGTAAACAGGAGGAGGTAACTCTATCAAGCATTTTGACAGAATTATGCCCCTTTTTCGACTTAGAATTTACGTTAAAGTTTTTGTAATAGTTCAAATATTTTCAAAGTCCATTGACATATGGCTTTGAAACTTTGCACACTTGTTCACCATCATGACCCCAACCTGTAAACAGGAGGAGGTAACTGTATCAAGCATTTTTTTTACTATCAAGCACTAAGAATAGTCGAGCGTTGCTGTCCTACCGACAGCTCTTGTTACTGATACTTCTTTATTTCTTAAGGGATCAACCTCATACTTCAAATATATGTACCTTATCATCATCCCCATCTTATGTGACAAGGTTTATAACTCTAGCACCAATATTTTCAGATTTATCTCCCCTTGAACTTAGAATTTTCCTCAAAAAATACTATTTCTTACTGTTTCTTCTTTATTTCTTAAGGGATCAACCTCATACTTCAGATATATGTACCTTATCATCATCCCCATCTTATGTGACAAGGTTCATAACTCTAGCACCAATATTTTCAGATTTATCTCCCCTTGAACTTAGAATTTTCCTCAAAAAATACTATTTTTTACTGTTTCTTCTTTATTTCTTAAGGGATCAACCTCATACTTCAAATATATTTACGTTATCATCATCCCCATCTAATGTGACAAGGTTCATAACTCTAGCACCGATATTTTCAGATTTATCTCCCTTTGATTTTAGAATTTTCCATACAAAATATTATTTTTTACTGTAACTTATTTATTTCTAAAGGGATCAACTTCATACTTCAAATATATTTACGTTATCATCATCCACATCTTATGTGACAAGGTTCATAACTCTAGCACCAATATTGCAAGAATTATCTCCCCATAAACTTAGATTTATTTACTAGAAAAATGTTATTTTTTATTTTAACTTTTTTATTTTTAAAGGAATCTACCTCAAACTTCAAATACTTATTCCTTATCATCAATTACATTTTATGTGACAATGTTCATAACTCTTGAAGCAATATTTACAGATTTATCTCTCTTTGAACTTAGGATTTTCTTTAAGAAATATAATAACTTCTTTATTTTTTAATCTATCTACTTCAAATATATATTTCTTATCATTACACAAATGTTGTGTGGCAAGGTCCATAACTCTAGCATGACTATTTCTAGAATTATTCCCCTTGATCTTGGAATTTATGTTAACAAATATTATTTTTTTACTATAACTTAATACATAATTATACATAATTGATTTTTCTTTCATAGCTTTGTCCTCCTTACTGCGTCCAGTACTTTATTAGTCGAGCTTCGCTGTCTCCTGTGACAGCTCTTGTTTATGATTGTCCTACACGGATTATAACTGATTTGTACATTTTTATGATCTTAAAAGACTTCTGGTTCAAGTTTTGCATGGGTAAATCCACAATCACTGAATATATCCACTTGAAATTTCAAACATGGGACATAAGTCTAGCATGAATTTTGACTGAATTAATCTGTGACCACTGAATAAATCCACTTGAAATTTTAAACAAGGACCATAACTCTTGCATGAAAAAGTCAATGACCACTGGATATATCCACTTAAATTTTCAAACAAGGGCCATCATTAATTATAGTCCTTTGTGAAATTCTTGCATGATCCTTTTATAACTCAGAAATAAGGTTGGTGTGCTATTATGTCATTAGCTTGTTCATTTAGTTTTTGTCGCAAGCTGAAACTAATGTTTTGAACAATAGTTTTATTGTCATGTTAAATATGAATGTAGTGGCTTACACATGTTTTAACCTTGAGAAATAAAATTAATGATAACTGATTTTCTAGATTATTGATGTCTTTGTTGTTAAGGTGTTGTGATACATATAGGCCTTCCATTCTCGCTTATGTTGTACCATTTACAATCAGTTTTATAGAGGTATACATTCACAAAGATGTTATATTACAAGTACCTATAAGATAATAAAATAGCTTAGTTCAAAGTATTATGAATTCATTATAATATTTCTGTTTTAGGGCCATGTACCATATAACAATGTTAGCTGTTCCACATCTGGTACAGACTAAAGGGAGCATTGTAAATGTATCCAGTGTAAATGGTATAAGATCTGTAAGTATATTTGTATAAGGACCTTTTTCTAGCTATTTTGAGAATGGGCCACTGGCTTAAATTGGGAAATTTTAACCATACAGTATACATGACTTATGTCTGATCATATCACCTATTGCACCTTTTAAGGAACAATGCAGAAGAGTTATTTCATTTTCAGTTTCATTTTCTGGTATTTGTTTGAAATATTTTTTTATCTGGAGGGAAAAAGAAGTTATTTTGCATTGGGAGTGGGGGAGAAATGCCCTGGTATAACCAATTTTTAAATGAGGATTAGTTGTTTGTCATCGGATGACATCTAATTTTTCAAGAACATGTACTAGTCATCCTAATGGCCAGCAATTTAAAACCAAACTATCTTTCTCCTCCAGCCAGTCTAAACAAATTTTGAAATATACAAATATCATAGATGGCCTGTTCCAGCCTTTTAGACAAGTTAATTCACAGCTTTCAGATTAAGATGTGGTTTATATGTTTTACAAACTGAGCATGTAAACAACTTTAATAGTGGTGCAAGAGATGAATTTAAAATTTTTAATTTAACATAGATATTTCTCTTTGATTTCTTTTCTTTTTTTCATAGAAATTGAACCTTAAGATATTTCCTTGTTTCAGTTTCCGAATGTGCTGGCATATAACATGTCAAAAAGTGCTGTTGACCAATTCACTAGATGTTGTGCCTTAGGTAAGAGATTCAATCTTACATTGCTTGAGACTGATACTTTTGGTTGATTTTTTTTCTCCCGAAGTATTTGTTGTGTTGTTATGTACTTTGGATCTTATTATTCAATGGTGTTTCAGGTCAGTATGTCAAGAGCATTTAGAGTTAAAGTAGATATTCCTATTTTCCCCTGAAAATAAGCCATGTTTTGAACTTTGTTGTAGCAACATGCGGTAGCGTACATTTATGTTATAGATATGTTTGTTTGCAGAGAAAACTTCATTGAACACTTTACTGTTTCAGATTTGGCACCTAAGCAAGTGAGAGTTAACAGTGTAAAGTAAGTATATTAAGCTCTCTTGGTCTTGCTGCTTTAAAGCATATAGAGTTGAAAACCCATAAATTGTTTAAATGGATTTTGGACTTCTATTTTTTGGACAGTTTATTATCAATTTTGGGGATATCCAGATAAAAATTTAGAAAGTAAGTGTTTAAATTAGTGTAGAGCTAGTCAAACTGCATAAATTAAGGCTCATCAGCTTCAGCAGGTAAAGCTCTAAAACTAGGTATTTTTTCAGCCTTTCCAAAACGATATTTTAGTTCAGTTTTTCCATACTTCAAATTTGAAATTGTATTTTGTCTTTCAGAGCTTCCATTAGTGGAAGTTTGCGAATCTTTACTCCTGATTTTGGCTTGTGACTTCCAAAATATAACCCTTTTCCTTTACCTCCAGTATCAAATATTTTGCAGTCTCTGACTTCCAAATTTTGGAACTTAATAGAAGCCCTGGACTCTTTACAGATGAACTATATGAACCTATGTATTGAATTGTTAAAACATGAAATATAGGTAGCATTTAACATTATGATTCATGTATGGCACAAATGATCATATCATGTAGATTTGTGTGACACATTACTGTATAGGTATCTTTTTGCCTTTGTGAGATCAACTTGATTAATTATCATTGTTACAATTTCAGTCCAGGTGTAATAATTACAGAAATACACAAGCGTGGAGGTCTGGATGATGAAGCCTACCAAATGGTAAAATATTTAATTTACCCTGTATCACGGTGGATAAACAAAACTACAGTATCATGTCTTGCAAGCCTGTACAATTCAATGTGTATCATAATCTTGTGATTTACAAGCACCTGGTACTTCTGTTCATTGTACCTTTCTTGGGAACCTATATGATAACTTGTATATTTATTGAAAAAACAAGAAGTAAATTTGTCTATCCACTGAGTGTTTACTAGGTCATTAGTTATCTAAATCCTTTTCTTATATCTTCCAATTATGTAAACAGGAATATTTTCTCTCATTTCTTATTATTAAATTTTTTTTTGCTGTTATGTTTTTTATACACATATGAAAGGTGTATAAAGTTTCATTGTAAGGTAGGATTTACCAGAGAAATACTTTTTAAGTAATACCTGTCCGTTAAAAGCAGGTATGTAGAAATTGATTGGTTAACTTTTGATAGTGTCTCAGAACAAGTTACAGTAAAAAATTGTCCAAAATATTGTCATTTTGTGAAATATGCTCTCCTAGTCTATATTTGAAAATATGTTAAGCTTCACTGTATTTTTATTTTCACATTTAACTCGAATTTACTGAAAGTGCCACTAATATAACTAGACTTTATACTTTTGGTAGCTCAATTTTGTATTTTGATATTGAAATCTCCTTAACCTTGAATGGACTGTTCCTTTACAAAATAATGTAATATTACTGATTATTTTATGTATAACTCAATTGAAAAAAGTCTTTCTTGTGTAAAAAAGTTAGCTCATGTTGTTTGGCTTTATTTTACAGTTTTTGGATAGAACAAAGTTTACCCATGCCCTGGGGCGTCCTGGTCAGGTGGAAGAGGTATCTGCTATGATAGCGTTCCTGGCATCAGAGAATGCTTCGTTTATCACCGGAGCCCAGATACCCATAGATGGAGGCAGACATGCCATGTGTCCAAGATAAAGTCAGGATAATGTCTCGGATTTTACCTTCGGGCATTTCATTCCAGGTTGTGTGTGTATATCACCAGCTTCCATCTTTGTTTTAATGCTCAGTCAAATATTTCACTGGAAACAAATAGTCAAGGGTTTATCCCTCTTTCCAATGTTCTTTCACAATTTACTGGAAGCAAAGTTATTGAATATCAGTGAAGGACTATAGAACATTGGGGAAAAAATAATATGTCATGGTTGTGATATCATCATATGAAGGAAGCTTAAGTGATGCAGACATCACCTCATATAGTCATAGATTGATAGTATAAAACTTGTTTATACAAAAATGAGTCATATTGCAGATATGTATTACAGTAACCAATATCATGAGGACAGGTGAAGGTTGAATATGTGGAATGTCTCTGTTTTATTTGTCTGTTAGTTAGAAAATGTGAATTAAACTGAAATTGGATCTTTTAAACATCAATTTTAAAGTAAAGGCCAGAAAACGAAATAGCTTGCAACTGAAGCCCGCTCTAATACAAGCAACTTCCAAGGTTATGCAAAGTGTTTGATAAAACGGCTTATAAACTGACGAAGATCCAATATTCTATGGAAAGCTTATATTTTCCCCCGTAGACTGGTGCATATCCCAAAGAAATTGGTACAGAAATAAAATATTTACGGCTATTTTCTTTTCCGAATCGAGCAACATTTGTCTTGGAAATGATGCCGAAAATGATGTCAATGTCACGTGGAATTGCCACACTGTAATCCTTTTTAGTATACTTTTCATTTATAGTCAATAATTTTAATACAACAAAGCTATTTCAATTGAAAAGTGATATGTGGTGTGACCCATTTTTAGGGCAGAAGGTATATACATGCACCTTGATCAGTCCTACTTGCCATGTCTATTTTGGGTCAAGTACTTGCCATGTCTATTTTGGGTCAAGAGGTCAAGGTCACATGGACCTTTGTTAACTTTTATATTTTTTTTCTTAAGTTTTCTATTTACAGTTAATAACTGGAATTATGATTTTAAAACTTTATATTTGGATGCACATCAATGAGTTCTGCCTGCCACATCTTTTTTTAAAAGGTTGATATGAAACTTAATTAATATTATATTTTTTCTTAGGAAATTTGCAGTTTACCATCAGCACTGTAAAAAGTGAAGCATGCTGGGCCATCTTTTGTTTCTTTTATCCAAGTCTTTAATAACTGGAATGATACAATTTTTGCAAATTGATAAAGTCTCTCTAGAGATATCTACTATAGATATAGTAGATCAAGGTAGATCACTTTTGAAGGAGATCATCTTTTGTTTCTTTTATCATTCGTAATAAGCAATGATTTAATATTTGCATTTAGACAAAGTCTCTTTCAAGATATCAGCTATAGATATAGTAGATCAAGGTCAATACTCCTGAAGGAGATTAGAAATTGTTTATTTTTTCAAACCAGCATATGTTTTTAATAGAACAACAATGTGTTTTTAATCCTGATTTTTGGGAAACATTGTTTCTAGGTATTTTTTGTTTGTTTTGTGTTTTTGTATGTATGTTTTCAGAAAAAAAAAGTCAATTAAGGACTTTGAATTTATTGTTTAAAACTTTAATAATTTCATCATGCTATTATTATGTTTATGCTTTGAACAAAAATCATCTGTATAAGATACTACCATATTATCATCTGTAAGCAAGTGAATTACATGTATGTACAATAAAAGTGCTGTGTATAGATTGTTGATTTTGTTGTTTTTATAACATGAATAACTTTGTTATCAGAAGAGGATGTGCATCTTTGGATCCATCTTGATAAACCGAAAAAAAGTGTCAGCATAAAAGAATAGTCATCAAAATCACACTAAAATATCAAAACCTCTATCTCATTTCTGGTCAGAATTATTTAAAACTTCACATCCTTTTTTGGTTGTTTCTCAATATCATTTAAATAAATCTGCTTGACTAAAATTGGTCTAACAGTTCTTTTAAAACATTCTCTTGTTTAACATATTATAGCTTAGTTCTTTAAAATTGTAGCACGATTCTTTCATGTATGTTGACATTAAGTGGCTGATAGTGATAAGTAGATAGTATATTTTGTTTAAAAAAGTTTTATTTTTTTAAGTCAATGTCATAAAAGATCAGTAACATAGCAGATTCTGAGATTCATCTGATCAAATAAAATGTCATACTGATTCTTGTCCTGCACAATGTCTAACAAGAGCACCGCTAGGCGGAGCATTATATGCCCGAAAGTGTTTTTTTTTTAGTAAGGATGAAGCTTTCGTAAGACATGGGAATTCGCTGTTCATCATATAAAATTTTACAGCTGTAGGTTGATTTATACTTAAGTTATTAATAATGACCTTAACCTATGACCTTGTGACCCCAAATTCAATAGGGGTCTTCTACCTTATATGGACAATCATCCTAAGAAGTTTGAATATTGTGGGCCAATTGGAACTTTAATTATGCTCTAGAAACTCTTTTCAGTATTAAGGTAAAAGTGACTTTGACCTTTGACCTTGTGACCCCAAAATCAATAGGGGTCTTCTACACAATATAGACAATCATCCTATGAAGTTTGAATATTGTGGGCCAAATGGAACTTACGTTATGCTCCGGAAACTGTTTTTGGTTTTAAGGTAATTGTGACCTTGACCTAGTGACCCCAAAATCAATAGGTTTTTTTTGACAATATGGACAATCATCCTATGAAAATTGAATATTGTGGGCCAATTGGAACTTAAGTTATGCTCCAGAAACTGTTTTCAGTTTTAAGGATATAGTGCCCTTGACCTTTTGACCCCAAAATCAATAGGGGTCTTCTACCCAATATGGACAATCATCCTATGAAGTTTGAACACTGTGGGCCAAATAGAACTTAAGTTATGCTCCGGAACCTGTTTCCAGTATCAAGGTAATAGTGACTTTGACCTTGTGACCCAAAAATCAATAGAGGTCTTCTATCCAATATGGACAATCATCCTATGAAGTTTGAACATTGTGGGTCAATTGGAACTTAAGTTATGCTCCGGAAACTGTTTTCAGTATCAAGGTAATAGTGACTTTGACCTTGTGACCCCAAAATCAATAGGGGTTTTCTACCCAATATGGACAATCATCCTATGAAGTTTGAACACTGTGGGCCAAATAGAACTTAAGTTATGCTCCGGAAACTGTTTCCAGTATCAAGGTAATAGTGACTTTGACCTTGTGACCTCAAAATCAATAGGGGTCTTCTACCCAATATGGACAATCATCCAATGAAGTTTGAACTTTGTGGTTCCAATGGAACTTAAGTTATGCTCCGGAAACTGTTTTCAGTTTTAAGGTCATAGTGACTTTGACCTTTTGACCCCAAAATCAATAGGGGTCTTCTACCCACTATGGACAATCATCCTATGAAGTTTGAACATTGTGGGTCAATTGGAACTTAAGTTAAGGTCCGGAAACTGTTTTCAGTATCAAGGTAATAGTGACCTTTGACCTTGTGACCCTAAAATCAATAGGGGTCTTCTACCCAATATGGACAATCATCCTATGAAGTTTGAACATTGTGGGTCGAATGGAACTTAAGTTATGCTCCGGAAACTGTTTTCAGTTTTAAGGTCATAGTGACCTTGACTTTTGACCCCAAAATCAATAGGGGTCTTCTACCCAATATGGACAATCATCCTATGAAGTTTTAACATTGTGGGCCAAATGGAAATTAAGTTATGCTCCGGAAACCAAATTGCTAACGGACGGACGGACAGACAGACAGACGCCAGGGGGTATAACATAATATGCCCTTTCGGGCATATAAAAAAGCTTTTAAAGGAGCTCCAGCATAAAAACATAAAAAATTCTTACATGGATCAACAAGTGCTCTTACAATGAAAAAAATATATGAAAAAGGTAAAAAAAAAGATAATCAGAAGCAAATTGGAAATCAATTGTGTTTTTCTTAGCAGGATTTGAATAAAAAGTGTTTACACCTATTTCATTTTTGGGTGAAAATACATAGTAATAAATGATTATATTTGAAAAACAGGTGAAATTTTGCACACAAGTAGTCTAGAGCTTCATCAAATAGTAAAAAATAAAAAATCAAGTCTTGCGAAGTCAAATACCTCATTGTAGTCCTATTAAGAAATCAATTCTTAAAAGTTCATTTTTAGCTCACCTGTCACAAAGTGACAGGGTGAGCTTTTGTGATCGCTTTTCGTCCGGCGTCCGGCCGTCGTCCGTCCGTCCGTCCGTCGTCCGTCCGTAAACTTTTGCTTTAAATGACATCTCCTCACAAACCACTGAGCCAATTTCATCCAAACTTCACAGGAATGTTCCTTTGGTGGTCACCTTTAAAAATTGTTCAAAGAATTTAATTCCATGCAGAACTCTGGTTGCCATGGCAACGGAAAGAAAAATCTTTAAATATCTTCTTTTAAACAACCCTAAGAGCTAGAGCTTAGATATTTGGCATGAAACATTTTCTAGTGAGTGTCTACCAAGTTTGTTCAAATAAAAGCCCTGGGGTCAAAATTGGCCCCGCCCCGGGGGGTCATTGATTTTCCCTATATGCATATAGTAAAAACTTAAAAAAATCTTCTTTTAAAGAACCATAAGAGCTAGAGCTTAGATATTTGGCATGAAACATCTTCTAGTGAATGTCTACCAAGTTTGTTCAAATAAAAGCCCTGGGGTCAAAACTGACCCCGCCCCAGGGGATCATAGATTTTCCCTATATACATATAGTAAAAACTTAAAAAATCTTCTTTTAAAGAACTCAAAGAGCTAGAGCTAAGATATTTAGCATGAAACATCTTCTAATGAGTGTCTACCAAGTTTGTTCAAATAAAAGCCCTGGGGTCAAAATTGGCCCCGCCCCAGGGGGTGATTGATTTTCCCTATATGCATATAGTAAAATCTTAAAAAATCTTCTTTTAAAGAACTCAAAGAGCTAGAGCTAAGATATTTAGCATGAAACATGTTCTAATGGGTGTCTACCAAGTGTGTTCAAATAAAAGCCCCGGGGTCAAAACTGGCAAACTGGCCCCGCCCTGGGGGGGCAGGGGGTCATTGATTTTCCTTATATGTTTATAGCAAAAACTTAAAAATCTTCTTTGAAAAAACCCAAATAGCTAGAGTTTAGATATTAAGCATGAAACATCTTTAAGTAAATATCTACAAAGTTTGTTCAAATAAAAGCCTGGGGGTCAAAACTGGCCCTGCCCCAGGGGTTTTATTGTTTTTAACTATATGTGTATAGTAAAAACTTTAAAAATCTTCTTTTAAAAAACCCAATGAGCTAGAACCTAGATGTTTAGCATGAAACATCTTCTTATGGGTGTCTACCAAGTCTGTTTAAATAAACAAATAAAAGCCCTTGGGTAAAAATTGGCCCGGGGGTTGGGGTGGGCTATATACAGGTGAGCGACCTCAGGGCCATCATGGCCCTCTTGTTTACCAAAACTAACAATTTAATTTGGATTTAAATTATTGATATTAATGATGTTTTAATTAGAACATTTTGCAAAAAATAATCTTAACATCTAGAAAGCTGTAGAGTTGAACACAATAATATTGCAAAATATGTCCATACATCAGTATAGTTGCACTTCAGGTCTAAACTTCTGCAGAAAGAAGCATCGAATCTTAGTAAATTTTCAAAACCTAATTGAACCAAAATATGTCATAACTAAATATTTCATTTCACTTTATCCCAGCACCATATTGACCCATCGTCGCACACGGCAAGTAGAGTGTCACCGTTAGGAGAGAAACACGTCTGTCTGACGGCAGAGTAACACTTGGGATGAGTCAGCACAGAACATCTGTAAAACATAGTAAATAGTCCGGCATTAGATAAGGGAAAATAACAATCAATGTTGTCTACATGTAAGCAAATAGTAATTTATTGTTTCATGTAAGTAAGCTGTCCAGCTATTTACCTGATGGCATTAACTTGTTTTGAAAAGGAATATAAGTGTTCATGCACCGTGTACATATAGTTGGTGAGTTGCTATACTATCATTACAGCATTGTTGTGACTTTGGTTTGTAGAAATTAATGATCCGTACAATAAGACAATTTATACCATAATCGTCAAACGGTTACCACACTAATAGCGGAAATACATTTGAACTACTCTTGAAGTAAAATCAGACAATTTTTTATATTGTACCAAACACGAAAAAAAGCTTCAATTTAAAAGACAGGCAACTTCAGCAAAAGCAAAAATATATTGACAAACAGATTTAACCCTTTGAAGACTGTTGGCTTTATATCAATTAGATTCACTTGTAAAGACTAGGTGTATTCACACTTGTTCATAGAATAAAGCTTAAAAGATACATATGTAAATTACATGTCAATACTTACTTTGCTAGAACAGGATCTTCAACATCAATGTCCCAGACAAATATCCTTCCAACTTGATTACCCAAAGCCATTGTCTGTAATTCAAAATGGAAATAAAAGTTAAATGTTACATGCAGATTATAATAGGAATGTACATGTAGATTCCCGTCCCTAGATTTGCTACTACTTGCCAGCTATTTCCACTGAAAAGGGTGGCATTAAGTGTAAAAAAGGTGAAATTAACTGGAAAGTGACAAAATTCCACTCTTTTTCCACTGTAGTGGCAAAATTACCACCAAACGCCACTATCCTTTGGTGGCATTTAGGTGGCATTGAGTGGAAATTTGAACATAGACTTTTTTCATGGTGGCAAAAAGGTGGAAATTGGTGCAAAATGAAACTTAGTTTATTTTGAAGGTGGAAAATGAGTGGCTTTTAGTGGAAAAGTGAAACTCTAACTATTTTCTGGGTGGCAAATTAGTGGAAAAAATCTTAGAAAATTTTGTGAATAACTTTTAGTCGAAAAGGGAAACTCTTTAACTATTTTCTGGGTGGCATAAAAATTGGTGGAAAAAACTGAGAAATGATTGTGCATTGCAGGATTTATAAGATTTATTTAAGTTAAAACTCCAAACTGAAATAAATCTGATTCTAGTTTTTATCAAAGCATCAAGTGAACTTTTTATCAAAAATAGAATAAATTAAAGTTGAACAGTTGGAAAATTTATCAGAAGCTCGTATTTCTTAAAAATCTTTTATATGCAATACTAAAATGCCATGAACACAATTCTGATACAAAGTCACTGCCCATACTGGTATTATAATTCCAGCTGTAAAGTAGCAGGAAAAGACACTGAAATTGGACGTAAAATCACTTTTCCAGGCGTAAAACACACATAATTAATTAAGAGCAAAAAAATAAGAAAAGTATGGGGTTACTTTATTTTCCATTTTTTCTTTCTTTTTTTCAGTACTTTTCTTTAGGGATGTAAAATTTGACTTAAAAACTCCATAACTTTGCAGGAGAGAGTTATGTATTTTAAAGAAAAACAAACATGAATCAAACTTGTTAACAATAATATTTAAATGCTATTTAATAAATATACATAAAAAATAGATCAGCCTTCAAGATAATGAAGCACTGTGCTTGCTTATTATACATACACAATATAGTATGCCTTTCAGAGGCTTTAAATCTTTTGTAAAAATAATTGTGTGAAAAGTAAATTATAGCTAATAATGTCTGATAATTTCTCATAATCAGGATAAGTAAATACTAGCTAGTAAATAGTGTCTGCATCCTCTAAGATTTAACAACAAGGCATACAACACAGATCTGATAAAACTACTGCCCTCTTATCTAGTAATCTCTGCATGGGGGTTAATAGTTTACTCAAGCTGACCAGACTGTTCCATTTGATTATTTTGGGAGAGGCAACATTATACATGTTATATGTAGAATCTGTGTTAAAATAGCATGCTAAATTATCTTTCAAAAACTTATTTCTACTCAATCTATTTAGGTATTAGACATAGTTTATACATTCAAATGAATGTAAAAAATACAAGAGCTGTCGGTAGGACAGCATGCTCGACTATTCTTAGTGCTTGATAGTAAAAAAAATGCCTGATACAGTTACCTCCTCCTGTTTACAGGTTGGGGTCATGATGGTGAACAAGTGTGCAAAGTTTCAAAGCCATATGTCAATGGACTTTGAAAATATTTGAACTATTACAAAAACTTTAACGTAAATTCTAAGTCGAAAAAGGGGCATAATTCTGTCAAAATGCTTGATAGAGTTACCTCCTCCTGTTTACAGGTTGGGGGTCATGATGTTGAACAAGTGTGCAAAGTTTCAAAGCCATATGTCAATGGACTTTGAAAATATTTGAACTATTACAAAAACTTTAACGTAAATTCTAAGTCGAAAAAGGGGCATAATTCTGTCAAAATGCTTAATAGAGTTTACCTCCTGCTGTCTACAGGTTGGGGTCATGATGTTGAACAAGTGTGCAAAGTTTCAAAGCCATATGTCTATGGACTTTGAAAATATTTGAACTATTACAAAAAACTTTAACGGAAATTCTAAGTCGAAAAAGGGGCATAATTCTGTCAAAATGCTTGATAGAGTTACCTCCTCCTGTCTACAGGTTGGGGTCATGATGGTGAACAAGTGTGCAAAGTTTCAAAGCCATATGTCAATGGACTTTGAAAATATTTGAACTATTACAAAAAACTTTAACGTAAATTCTAAGTCGAAAAAGGGCATAATTCTGTCAAAATACTTGATAGAGTTACCTCCTCCTGTCTACAGGTTGGGGTCATGATGGTGAACAAGTGTGCAAAGTTTCAAAGCCATATGTCTATGGACTTTGAAAATATTTGAACTATTACAAAAACTTTAACATAAATTCTAAGTCGAAAAAGGGGCATAATTCTGTCAAAATGCTTGATAGAGTTACCTCCTCCTGTCTACAGGTTGGGGTCATGATGGTGAACAAGTGTGCAAAGTTTCAAAGCCATATGTCAATGGACTTTGAAAATATTTGAACTATTACAAAAACTTTAACATAAGTGGTTACGCCGACGCCGACGCTCGGGTGACTGCAATAGCTCTACTTATTCTTATCGAATAGTCGAGCTAAAAATGATGGGTGCTATGGCTTTTGAATAATCCCTCACAGTTTAAAATTATAATGGAACTTTCCAGTTGTACGGTTGTAAAGTTTGAATTCAAAGGAATTGAGGTCAGTTAAAGCTTGCAAAAAGGAAAAAAGGAAATGATTGGTATTGTAGCAATTCTGGAGATATTATTTTGTTTAAAATGTAAGGGTGCATATTTTTGATTTCTCAAAGAATACATTAAAAGTCTTATTAGTTGTGGCAAATAGAAATGAGAAGTTTTAACTGAAGTGTGAATGTGTAGATTATAACATTAGACAAGAAGATAAACAGCAGAATCATTCCAAGTCAAAGTTTCAGGTACCGTAAGCAACTTTTACATAATTATAGCAATTATTTATTATTATTGTCAGAAACTATTAAGTTTTTTTAACAGTAAAAATATGAAGTGGTATTGTATAAAAATTATGTTTAAATTTGTTATGTTTGTAACTTGACTAAAAAAGAAAGCTGCAATTTACATATAAAAATGTAGGAAGTAAAAGTTGTAGGAAAGCTTCATCATTTCATAAATACAGTATGTTAGAAAATTTAAGTTTGAGAAATAATTATAGAAATTATCAGTAAGACAATATCATTAATATGACAAAATTACCAATCAAAACTTAGATACCTACTGTTACTACACTTTATGCTAAAAACATTTTTTTGTTGTACATTTGTGTGCAGATCAACAGTAACTGTTTTTAATTTTGTACAGTTTAATTCCTTCTTGTTGTAAATTCAGCTTCATGGGCAGTGAGTAGATTATAACCATAAACGAGACAGCTGAGCTTTAGACAAGCTGTTAGACGAGGGGGATGACAGTTAAACAGAAACAGCATAAATAAGATTTTTTCTTTTGCGAATAAAGCACAATAGGAGCACCTGGTCACGTGCTTGTTCTTCGGTGGTTTAACAGGTGTATTGTTTTGTTTCTCTAGCTGAGTTTAATTCAAAATTTTAGAATTGTAAGGGAAGTAAATTTATTAGTGTCCGACCCAAAAAGCACTTTTCTTTTTAATAAATAACGTAGCTATTTTGCCCTATTACAACCTACTTTTTTTCCCTCTTTTACCTTTTTTGTTTAATTTAGTTTTAATTTTTAAGTTTTGACACCTAAGTTTTAAATTTTGTCAAAAAATTTTTCCCGTTGAAGGTTTATTAAGAACTGAAATGGAAAATTATTAAAATTTCTTACCTGCCTGTGTTCTTTTTTTCTTTTTTTCTTTTATTTTTTAAAATTTTTAGTTTAAATGAGGCACTATGCCTCAAATGGAAAAGGGACAAAAAGCGGGTCTTCAATGCTTTCAATATGAAATTAAAGGCCTCATTTTTTGGGATAGAAAAGAAAAGAGGTCTGACGCCAGACTCTTTGGGCAAGGAAAAATTAGTTCTTGAAAGGAACTAAAGAAATGAATGAAAAATTTATTTTTTATTTGCGTATATTTTTTTGCCTTGGATATTATAAAAAAAAAAGTTGATTCTTCCCCTTGCAAACTGTTTTGTTAAAATTTTAAAATTTTTTAGAAAAAAAATATCAATGTCATGTAAAAATGTATGCTAATGTTTTTAATTATTGTAACAATTATTCATAATATTTTTTTGTTTTAGATTGTGCGCTGGAAAAGTGGCTGACAACCCAAAGGACTGAAATCCATAGGGTGATTCTGCACCTCCTCAAACCGTCCAGGAATAGGAAGATAAACTGAAGATAATAAATGGACTAAAGTGTTGCTATTTTTTGAGACAATAATTTCATATGGAGACATTAAAAAGGATTATTTTTAAAATTTGTTTGTTTCTCTTTTAGGGTTCTGGGTGACTTTTAAGCAGTTTCCAGCTATTGCCACTCACAAGGTGGAAAATTTCTGAAAGGGTGAAAATAGGTGGCATTTAGTGGAAACTGAATTTGCCACTTTGTGGTGGAAAAATGGTGGAAAAGTGTCTAAATACTCCACCAACTTTCCACCCTAATGGTGGCAAAAGGTGGAAATAAGTGGCATTTTGTGGAAAATGAGTTTGCCACTCAATGGTGGCATAATGGTGGAAATTCGTCTAAATACTCCACCATCTTTCCACCATGATGGTGGCAATTAGTGGAAACAAGTGGCATGTAGTCGAAAGTTTGTCTAAATACTCCACCAACTTTCCACTCATTGGTGGCATTAAGTGTAAAAAAGGTGGAATTAACTGGAAAATTATATACCATCAGTCCTGCTCAAATTTTTCACCATTTTCATGATTTGGGTGGCGTTTTGGTGGCATTATTGGTGGAAAATTGTCTAAATACTCCACCATTGAAAAGGGTGGCATTTAAGTGGCAAATCTAGGGACGGGTTACTCCTACTTCCTGTATATGACGGCATTTCATACTCATTTAAAATAAGACATTTGCAGCGTGGCTGAGTGGTTAACATGTCAGACAAGTAATCTTGTCAGTATTGCTGACTGCATGAGTTTAAACCCTGTCGGGGGCAAGCAGTTGTTTCCTTG